TCCTTTACTATCCGATGGCATGCGAATGAAGATGAAGGGATCCGGTACGAGACGAGATCAAGGTCCCCAGTGAGCCCCGCGTAAAATTCATCATTGTCTATTGGATGCCTGTTGCGACATTGACTGCGCGACTGAGTGTTGCCGGGTGACGGAATAAAATAAGCTCGAGGAACTGCTTCGATAAGTTCTTGTTTTCTGTTTTTATTTCCCGGAGACGCTCACTGTTGTTCGAACTTTCGGAACCAAGCTTCGGGGCTCGAGAGACAGCTACGAGGACGGGAGTAGCGAAGAATTCCACTCTCTCCCAACCCCCGAATCGATAGCGGCGAACTGAGTGAAATCGGTTACAGCTTCGGAAGTTTTCGTAGTGACACCTAGATTTCGTGTGCTTAGCAGGACACATAAAGAGTGATGCTCTTTCTCCGGAGTCTCTCCACGCATCCGGATTATCTCGCGTTCCTTGAAAGCTCAAGGTCATACAGAGTTTAGGGCTGGCGGTCCAACGATGGCGAGTGCCATCCTTCCGGTAGAGACAGTGAATGACGTGGAAAATCGAGCATGAAACTTTCCAACAGAGCTTGAGGGATGAAAAGGGTTGAACGTGGACTGGTCCTCTGCTCTCCTTCCATGGAACATGTCTCTCAAGGATCCGATGATGCAGAATCCTACGGTCATTCCAAATGATATTTGGAATCTCTCCGGCGGATTCGATAAGGCGCACCATCCGGAATGAAGCATCTCGAACTACGCGTCCCGCCAGCAAGCTCCTGCACTTTCCGGAAATTCCCACCCTGCAACCTGAACGCTTCAGAGGAGACTACTCAAGCGGGAGCACGCAGGTCGGAAGCCGACGATGAAGCCGGCGTCAGTTTCAGCTGTACACATCTGCCCGTCTGTAGAGCATCTCTACAGAAAATCAGGCGCGACCCTCAGCAGCGGGTGTTCCCCACCCTCCACTCCTAGGTGGGACAGCCCTACTAGATAGAGAATTCCAGACGCAGCGTAAAGCGACCACGCTGGTGCCCGCGAGACTCTGAGCTAAGTATATGTATCGTCGGAGTTTTCCGTTCTGGACTCGACAGCCAAGCTTCAAAGGTCTGGGTGAAGTTTTCCCATCACGCCCGCGGCGGATCCAGGGAGCCAGGGTACCCAGAGGGTCGCGGCCGAGTACTCGCGCTTCCCGAAAGAATATTCTGCCGGCGGCACAGATCGAAGCCGAGCCACCTCCCGCTGGAGCGGTGTCATCGGTCATCGCGGCCGTCAGACGAGACGCCCGCGTCTGCACGACGAGTGACAGAAGTAGAGTATGCCGCAGAACATTTCCAATTTTCGGGGCAGGATATCGCTATCATCTTCCTCCGGAGGCCACAGTTTAGGGCAGAATAATTCCTCGAAACTGACGGTTCCCCTTCGAAAGAATCGGAGGCCTTGTTCGGAAACCTGCCGAGGACCAAACACGCAGTCGTCCACTACAATTTTTTCGTCGCTCTACTCGCGGGACGAATTTTTACCCGAGAGAGAGCTCGAACTCCTCCACATTCCTCCGATGAGAGCTCCACTGACCGCGCGGATCCTCGCGGAGCCGTGGCTCCGTCATCCGTCAGCTGTCAGAAACGCCCAGGGTTCGCTCGGATCTCCGTGGCGCCAGTCGGGAAGGGGACCGCGTTTCATTGTCTACGTTTTGCGATTAGAACGGCTCCGTGCGAAGTAATGTTAAAAAAACTAAGAGCGAGCGTGACCCCGCTCGGCACGCTTTATCACTGTTTATTTTCTCCAACGGACAGCTCCGTGGCACCGTCGGTCGGAAGAAATCCGCGCTTGGCGGCAGTGTCTGCTCGGAGAGTGAGTAAGTGAACGAGCGATAGCGGCAGCAGCAGCGGCGGCGGCGGATGAGTGAGGAGCAAGGGCCTTGCAGCCGCAGCCGCCGCCGCCGGAGGAGACTCGCTCGCGAGCAAGCGCGCACCCGTTAAAGATCTCCCTGGTCAGAATGCGTTTATCCGGCGAGCAGACAAAGCGTTGACCGTCCGTCGGTCCGTGCGTCCGGAGCACCACCACCTTCGTTATTCGCTCGCTCGCTCGCTCGCTTGCTTGCTCTATAGGAGGCAGAGCAGGCAGGCAGGCTGCTGCTGCTGCCATTGGAAGAGGCTCCGCCATATTTGTGTTTCAGTTCTCTTCTGTCAGGCACTACTACAAAACGGGCCAATTTCGGCCTCGAACGAGCCGAACGGCGGCCCGTGTCTCAGCGCTCTGAGCGTGTAAGGCTTAGCGGATCGAGTTGAGGCCTCGCGCAGACTTCCGACCGACGAGCTCATCGGACCAGCGCTGCCGAACCTCTTCTAGGGCCAATTGTTTTGTGTGAGCTCTCGCGGCTGCTGCTCCTACCACCACTGCTTTCGCCGCCGCCGCCGCTGCTACCACCACCAACACTATTACCTTTGACTGCTGCGTGAAGTTGTGGCCTATCGTTGAAAACACGCAGTTTTCGGGCCGACGTGTAACGATGAGCTGACACGCCGTAACCCCGCAGAGAGCCACGATCGTCGGGCAGGAGCAAGCCAGCCAGTTAGCCAGGCGGACAGGCGGACAGGCAGACAGTCGGGCAGTCGGGCAGCCAGGCAAGCAGGAAGGCAGACAGACCGACCGTCCGTCCGACCCAGCCTTCGGTGAAACAAGCCACAAACCAAAGGACCAACCAAAAAACAGCGAACTTCCAGACTCGAAGCACTCGGGCAGGAGCCAGCCAGCCAGCAAGCCAACCAGCCAGTTATCCTTCCAGTCAGTCAGTCGACCAGCCAGCCAGCAATCCATCGAGCAACCGACCGACCGACCGGCCGGCCGACCAACCCGACGGACAGACAAACCCGTCAGCCAGTCCGTAGCCGACGTGCAACGTACCGACAGTGACGGGACAGATTGTGCGTGCAGTTATCCGACTGACCGGTGTGCCGTCCCGAAAACGGTCAGCGCTACCGACCAGCACGACCACCGCCAAACTTAGCTAGTCTACCAGTTCGTCAGTCAGTCAGTCAGTCGCCGCACCAGAGTCGTCGCACCACCATTACTACAGAATTACCACCCTGTGTGTAATTCGAAAGCAAGTGAACAACCAGCAGACGGACGGACAGACAGACAAGCAGGAAGGCGGACAGACATTCAGGCAGCAAGCCAGTGAAACTGGCTGACTGAGAGAAACCTCGCCAGACAGAGGGATAGACAACCGAATTTGTTTAAGAGTTCCCTGGTCGGTTACGCTCTGATCGAACGAGTCTGTCCCCCGTTGGTCCTCAGGAGGAGTTTCCCATCGTAGTGCGATCTCCATCACGTTTCATCATCATTACCACCATCTTCATCATCGGGGAGCGGCGGTAGCACCACCGCCGCCACCACCACAACAACAACAACAACCGCAACATCATCACCGTCGGAGACGACGCGTCGTGATCAACGCCGGGATTTACGAAGGTGAAGTGCAAAGTGACACCGCAACAAGGACAACGGTCTGCCCATCCTCCAGCCAGGCACTAGTCGACAACCCACTTCACATAGGGTTCGAGGAACTCTACTCTCGTTCGCTGGTTCAACTGTTTCGGGTGGTGCAGCATCCTCTGTCGGTGTCGATACACCTGCGCGGATCGCTCACCGGTCGCGAGCATCAGGGGAGAAAACAAAGAGCACGACGCACCGAAAACGAGGAACGAGCGTATCGGCTGGAAGCGACGCCTCAGCAACGGTGTCAATCAAAAAATCGGATCCTCAGTTCCTTCAGGGGGTGCGTGAGTGTGTGATGAGTGCATAAGTGAGACGTCTGATCCATCGATCGATCGATTGACTGATTGATTGTTTGAGTGAGTTGGAATTGACTGCTCCTCGATTGGAATAGGGTGAGGGGAAACCCAGAACGCCACCGCCCGGATCCCCACCTGCTGCTCCTGTCGGGCACGTCAACCAACAACGACGACTTCCCTGGATGTGCGGAGTGTAACATTGTTCGGCCGGAGCTTCCAGAATCGGCGGTCTTTCCCATCCGAGCTGTGGTTTCGAGGTCACTGCCGATTTTCACGTGGAAGGAAGGACCCTTTGAATGCGTGAAGCTGTCCACTGAGAGGTACCGGACTGGTAGCTCGAACCTTCAGGATTACAGAGAGTCAGCCCGCTGACCTACCAACCAAGTATCTAGCTAAGCAGTCAGCCAGCTACGTAGCCGTGCGAAAAAGCACGCTGCCGACCATCGAGGGAGGCAAGCACATCAAAAACAACAACGACACCAAAAATACGGACAGACAGACAGACAGACAGACAGACAGAAAGACAGAAAGGCAGCCCGACTCCAGCGGACAAGCTGTAGAAGATCCTTCTCACCGCAAAACGCTTCGAGAGTGGTCCTAAGCAATAGAAGTGGATCACCTCTCGTCGTCTCACCAACTGGAAACTAGCTACATTACGAGTCCAACGACGACGACGTTGACAACGAAGGCTCGAACGGCTCGCCGCTATCATCTTGGCTCTCGCGTCGTTAGCCACCGTGGGTTTCAACGGAAGAGTTCGAACCTCGCTCTCAATGCTGACGCTACCAGGCCTCCGAATGAGGAACGTCCACCTGTTCGTTGAAAGTTGTTGAGACAAGCGCGCGGCGTCAACACTTGCTCGACCGGATAAGAGGAATGCAGCCTGGGTTCGGTGCGATTCGAACTTTCTAATCGTCTGCTTCGTGGTGACTGTGGATCGAGGGCCCATTCACGAGGGTCGCAGCGGCGTCTGACAGACGTAACGAGTCGTAGGCGACCCGGTGGGAGGAAATTGAAGGAGCGAGCACCTCAGCTCAGAATCAGGAGACGAACGGCTTGCCACGGCAAGCGGACGTCGACGACGTTCACTGGGAGTTTTAGGTGGCGGTGGGTGAGCGGTGATAGAGAGCAAGTGAGGCTTCTGATTCAAGTAAACTGGTGGAACGAGCAGCCGACGCGGTGAATTCGCCGCAAGGGTCCCCCGAACTTGCCAGGATGGGCTGTTTCGGTGGGGGTGCTTCGAGAGATGCCGAAGAGGACAAAAAGCGGAAGGAGGCCAATAAGAAAATCGAGAAACAGATCCAGAAGGACAAACAGATCTACCGGGCAACCCACCGACTACTGTTGCTGGGTAAGTGTTTTATCATTCTCGATCAGCCGAGCTATCTGTTCGCATATGCATCCATCTGCTTCGTGGTCGATCGAGAGCACGACCCAGCGGCACGGTGAGGAATCCACTCGGCCCCAGAACGCCAATTCCCCGAGCGTTTCCTTGTTTTCCCTCGCGAATGATGCGCGAAAACTTCGATTTATTGTTCGATCGAGATCGATCGAATTTCGAACTCGTGATCAGCGAATAATTGCCGGTCTCACTCCTCATCCAAATTGATGCCTCATTGAGAATTCCGCCGTGAATCGGCCATCTCTAGACGGACGTCGGCCGTGAACGGCGTCCGTCAACGAGCGTTGTGAGGGAGCGGACTCGGATTAAAGTAATCCGAACCTTCACGCGACCGACGCGCGTCGCAGATCAGATGACTGCTGTCCATCGAGAAAGTGAGCGTGCTCTCGTCGAGCTTAAGACATCTGAAACTAATTAGTCACCCGAGCGACGATGATCTCTCCCCTTTTCTGTTTATGTAATTCTTCGACGGTCGGATTTGACTGCATCGCTGCGCGTGGCAGCATCGGAGGACCCTTGGAACCTACCGAAAATCCGGCTGGTACGCTCTCGAGTACGTTTTCTGGCCTGTCCCGAACCCTAGAAGCTTCAGTTCGGCTCATAACTCGGGAACATCCTTGGATTCGTTTGAATCGGTGTCGATATAGTCACCGATCATCCGAATCTTGGCTTGCCGATTCATAAAAACTTTTGGGGTACTCTGGGGTATCGAAGAATGACTGCGAGGAATCCGCTGCCTGTGATCTGCTCGATCAGAGCTCTGCTCTAGCCGACGTTCAAAGGGAACAAATCGGATGTTCTAGGGGGCAGAAGAGGCTCCGTCCGTCATTTCCCCTGACGGGAGCGTTCGAAGCTCGTCGACTGCCTGATGAAGTTTGTCAGGTGCGCGTACGGGTGCGTGCCGATTCGATCCTGCTCCGTGTCCCGCGTGGTTTCCCTCTCTTTAAATATTTTTTTCTGTCCCGAACAGGTGCCGGGGAGTCCGGAAAAAGTACCATAGTGAAACAAATGCGTATTCTTCACGTCAACGGCTTCAGCGAGGACGAACGCAAGCAGAAAATCGACGACATCAAGAAAAACATAAGAGATGCCATCCTCACGATAACAGGTGAGTACGTGCTCAGGGATTCAACGAGCTGGCGCAGCCGTCGCTGCTCTGGTGGTGGCGGCTCTGAGAGCTGCTGCAAAGCTCGTCTGGATAGTAGTGCTTCGATCGTTGCTCGCTTGGCGTTTGACGCTGAAAGTTGGCGTCAAGCTGAATCGATTATACATCGATGATGGTGGAAATCATGGCGGCAAGCATCGCAACAAACATCTACGCGACTGCTCTGAATTGCTCTAATCCAGACGAAATTCTGGAGTGCTCGTGAGAATTTGAACTTGGAACCCGAAAATACACAATACGTGACAGGAATTATCTCAGCAGAATCATTCAATAATATTCGAACTTCGAAAAATAAAATATGAGGCTCGTCGGAACCGAATACATTATTTTTGACCGTGCGTCTAACGAAGAATCGCTCTTCCAGGTGCCATGTCAACCCTCGTGCCACCGGTTCAATTAGAGCACTCGGAGAACCAGTGGAGAGTGGATTATATCCAAGATGTGGCATCAGCCCCGAACTTTGATTATCCGACGGTGAGTACGCACGCTCGTCAGCCGGATTATAGGAACAGTCGGGATCATCCCGTAGATACTTTACCTGGAGAACGTGACTGCCTGAGGGGGAATTCATCGAGCGGCGGTCATATATGTACGTCTCCTCGAATTGACAGTCAGCTGCTGCCACCTTTCCTCCATCGAAGTCTAAAGTGGCCTGATGATGAGGGTTCATGTTTGCTGGAACACGAGTCGGACAAAGTGAGATGTCTCTATGTTTCTGGACGCCGCTGTCGCTGGGAAGAATCGCTTTCCCATGACAACTGGGTCCGGTGACCTGCACGCTGCCGCCGTCGTTGTGACCGCATAGTGAGCCTCGGGTCGACCTGATGACGATTTGAATCACTTCTTGTAGAGCGGCCCGCCCACTTTCCAGGCGGTCGAGCTAGCGCGACTGGGAGGGAGCTTCCTCAGTGACAAACACGACAGACCAGAGAATACTAGTCAAAACTTTGTGAGGGATTTGTGAGGAAACAAGCATCGAGTGTCGATGCAGATGACTGATTTGCCGCTATCCTTTCGGATGATTTCGCTTCAGTCGATACCTGGAGGCTTGACGCACGCTTGGATAGGTCCCGATGGGGTCGGGAAATAAGGAATGCACACCGGAGGGGGTTGGAATTGCTCCGCCGATTGGGAGTCATTCGGATAATGAAAAAAATCTCGTAGAAATGTGATTCCACTTCACTATCCTGAGATTCCTCGATGCGTGAATAAACCCGGAAACAGATCTGAAGTTCGCGGGAATTTTTCTTTAGCGCTCTCCTAATCCGACCCTAAGCTTTTTCTCTCTGCAGGAATTCTACGAACATACCGAGATCTTGTGGAAAGACCGGGGAGTGATCTCCGCCTTCGAGCGGTCGAATGAATACCAACTGATAGATTGTGCAAAATACTTCCTCGACAGGTGGGTAAAAAGCGACGATTGGGTGAGCGCGGGGCATGAGCCTCGACCATGCCTTCATTGACCATCGACGTTTGTCTCGAGCGGAGGATCTCGGCTGGTGCAAGTACCGGTTGCTTGATATTTATCCACGGCAGAGTTCGCTTCGAGCTTACATAGGGAGACTTTCTGCTGCGGCGATGACACGCCGACGCTGAGTGATGATTTCATCGTTAGAGAGAGAGAAGGCGAGGTCAATGACGAATCCCTGAGAATCTCCTAGCGAGTCGGTTGGTTTCCTGGTCGAACAAGGGGATGCTTTCATTCACCGATTGAGACGCAATTCACGCTTCTGTTTTTTTTTCCAGAGTATCAGCCATCAAGCAGCCCGATTACACGCCCAACGAACAGGACATTCTACGTTGTCGAGTGCTCACGTCCGGGATTTTTGAAACGAAGTTCCAGGTGAGTCCATCGCAGATTCTCCTGAATCCAGAAGAACTATCGCTCCAGAGCTCGATCGTTAATTGCTGGATGTGGCTCACGCTTTACGGAATTCGACTTCAGGTGGACAAGGTGAACTTCCACATGTTCGACGTGGGAGGCCAAAGAGACGAGAGAAGAAAATGGATTCAGTGTTTTAATGATGTGACAGCTATCATTTTCGTTACGGCGTGCTCGTCATACAACATGGTTCTCCGAGAAGATCCAAATCAGAACCGGCTGCGAGAAAGTTTAGACCTCTTCAAGTCCATTTGGAATAATAGGTTAGAATACTCAAGAGCATATTCGAAGACGAGTTTTACTTCGCGAGAACCGATTCGCTTGCCTCATGATCGCTATGACGGTGTTCGAGGGAATACAGATATAATGAATCTGTCTGTGGCTACAGCCGGAACACCGGGAGAGCCTTATCCCGATGCGATTTCCAGACAGGAAGCTTGATCATTTGCAGATGGCTACGCACGATATCGGTAATCTTGTTTTTGAATAAACAAGACTTGCTGGCGGAGAAAATCAAAGCACAGAAGTCGAAGCTCGAGGACTATTTTCCTGAATTTGCCAACTACCAAACACCTGCTGACGGTGAGTTTTTTGTCGGAGCGCTGGACGAATTGTTCGTGCTAAGACAGTTGTCACCCGGCTCTGGGGTGACAATGATGCAAGCTTCCGCCCATTTTGATGGAGATGATCAACTGGATTGAATAGTTTTCTTGTCTGTGCTTTCCAGCTATAACGGACAGCGGCGAAGACCCGGAGGTAATACGGGCCAAATATTTCATTCGGGATGAGTTCCTTGTAAGTATCAGCCCTTTGTTGGAATTCATGTCAAGCTTCTGATCGACACTAGAGCGAAACGCTCGTATTTCCAGTCCTCTATTGCTCGGTTCAAATGATTTCGTCTAGATCCGCTCGTTGACATTGTGATCTTTGCAACGTTTACAGCGAATCAGCACGGCGTCAGGTGACGGCAAGCACTATTGCTATCCACACTTTACGTGCGCTGTCGACACAGAAAACATCCGACGAGTTTTCAACGATTGTCGAGATATCATACAGAGAATGCACCTCCGTCAGTACGAACTGCTCTAGTCCTGCCCTCGCCGAAGTATGTTGATCAACTCTCTCTTCAACTACGGAAGAATGAAAATGAATATGAACGTGTTCCCAAGCCGCAACAACTTCACTCTGGAGACTCGTGGAAGGAATTTCTTCGTTCCAACTGCTCCTGTTAACGTTGATGGCTGCTTGTTGCGTTTTAGGTATACCTCCCTCTTTTAAGCGACTGGAGAAATTAGAAAACAAAGGAAAACTATTATAATCCCACAACAACAACAATTGTGGAATCTGAGTGGTGTGATGCCGTCGCCACCACCGCCGCCATCGCTGTAACTTCTGCTGCGGCTGCTTCTGTTTTTCCTGTCACGAAAAACGTCGCCGCCCGCTACGCGCCGACGCGTGATCCGGCAATTCATAGCGGGGCCCGCGATGTCACCGAACGTCAGCTGCGGGAACATCGACATGTGAAATACCGAGGTCAGATGTGATTCTTTTTGTGTACGTATCGGAGAGAGTGCCTCTGAAGCCTGCGCCATCGACTGCCGGCGCGTGTCCTCTGCAAAATTGCGCCGGAAAGAAATCTGCTCGGGTTGAAGCATCTCTGAGCTGTTCTCCCTCTCAGTGTCACGTCGCCCACGCTGCCCGACTGTATGTGGAAGCTGCACCGGGATTCCGGACAGTCCCCGTTCGAAATCACCAGCCGATGTGTCGCGGCGTGTCTGTGTTCAATTTTGAGATTTTTTTTCGGACAAACATCGAGAGTTCCGAAGAGTGATCAGGCCTGACTCTGACTCGGTTAAGATCCGAAGGCTCCTGTTATATCCGGTCATTTTTCCTACGGATGATCATTCGACACCCAATGTTCCAAGCATCCCCGAACGATTCCGCTTCCTGACCGAGACATATGCCAGTCCCGTGGCGTCGAAGCGGAAGATTGAGAGTTCGGAAGATTTGATCTCAGAAATTTCGAAACATTTCGCTCGCGAAATCAAAAGATCATAATTTTGAAGTGAAAGGCGCGTAAAAGTCCATACGGAGTATTGTGCAAATTTTGGATGAGTTCGAAGCACGGTGGAGATTGCGGATTCGTGCGCGTGCGAGGATACGCTTTCAACTGTACACATTTTCATAGACGATCGGTTCAGATGTTTCGGAGGTTGGTCTCCGGCACGTCAGCGTGCTTGTCGGTGATTTCTGGCAGCGGAATGCGCACTCAAGGATTTCATCACCGAGAATCCCCCTCGATCGGGAGCGCGGATTCGGCGGATATCGTTGATGGCATTTCAGCCGAGAGGGATCTGTTCCAATCCCTATACGCGGGCTCTCCGAGCGACGCGAGTTTGTTGAAACTCCGCTCGAGTCGGTCGCTCATGCGTTACGCGTGTCCGTAGTTTGAGCACAGCGGAAGTGAGAGCAGTGCTTTCTTGAGTTATGGGCTCGCGGTGAGAATCATGGATTGCGGGCCCACGAACGAGATGTGCGAAAGGAAGGAAAGCGATGAAGAATTAACGAACAGAAGTTTTCCGATTGTTTTACGAGCGAATGTGAGACTGTGAGCTTAGCTGGGGATTTTCATACGATACAACAAACTTTGAAGGCAATTCACAAAATAGTCATTTATCGAACAGATCGATTGATTCATCGATTCGGAACGCTCTCTCGATCAATCGCAAGGCCCCGATGGTTCAGAGGCCTTCCGGTGTGGTGATCACGTTCGAGAGCTGATTGTTGGATCCAAGTCTGAGGAACGAGGGGGGGGGGGCGTGGGCATCAACGTGAAAAACTGAGAGCATGCATACTGTATGTGTTCCCGCCTGTTTAGATGAGGGGAGAACAGCCGAATCACTCCGAAAGTAGGTCAGACCGCCATCGCCTCCTACTTTCGTTCCGTATCCTTCCTAAGTACATAGTTCGTTCGTTCGTTGACTAATGAAGAATCATGTCGGTGATGCTGATAAGGATAAAATGATGATATCGATGCAGATGGATATGAAGTCGATGCGGACATTGACGAAAATGCTGATGAAAATCACGTCGAAGAAGATGATGTGTAATGTGTAATATGATTAACGGAACTGCTCTAGGGAATATGAGGCAAAGCAAACAAGTGGAAGACATTTCCAAAAGGATGTGTATGCTCATCGGGAAGCAAAACTCATCACACAACGGGCAAGGAGTTAACGCAGACACTAAAAACAGAAACCGAAAGTCTCCGATGAGTTCCCGATCCAGAGTCAGACGGATCGACAGTGAGTGGGTCAGACAGTCAGTCAAGTCAAGTCAGCCAGCCAGCCTGGAAATGAATCAGTCATCAATCTAGGACCGGTGATCTTGACTCCCCGGAGTCTTGGCGCATGAACGGCTCAGCACCATTTGCTGGATCACAGCCTACACCCCAAACTAGTCAAATTCATCGAACTAAAACAAACAATACAATGGACCTCTGCATTTTGTTTAACAACCGTTACGGCAGAAAGAGTGACTCTCCGATGCGAGGGCGATACCCCGGTCGGCCGGGCTCGCTGCAGGCGTCGATGAGAGGTTTGAAACACCTCATTAGGCGGTCTTTTGAGCCTGTCCGCGATGTTGAGGACATTCGGTATTCGTCGAGGAACGAGAGAAGAAGCGTCTGTCCCCTCGATTATTCGGACGCAGTAGAGGAAGTCATTCACTTTTTGTGACACTTTGATCCGACTCACCAGACAGGAGGCTTCCTCTGCGACCCCCATGTGCCATGACACAGTAAGGCGGTTTGGACGCTCGACCTGATCAATCGGATCGGACTCGAGCGCGATCCCGCATTACGAACCCAGAGGGCGACGGACGACTGTTTGTTACGAGGACAGATTTCCAAAAGGCGAAAAGCGCAGACACGGCCATCACCTCCTTCTCTTTCCCCTTCTCGACTGCTTCCTTTGGTCCCGATCCCTACGATTATGGAGAATCATTTTCTGTTGGAGATGTCCCTGTGCTGGGACCTCCCCCCCCCCTGGTTCCTCCGTAGGGGTAAAGGAACTTTCTGGTTCTTCCCCCTATGCAGGAGCTCATATTGGTTCCGCGAGGACTCGATGAGCTCTCCTCTGATTGGATTCGATTCCGTCAGACACGAATCACTTTATTCTGCAAACCGAGAAAAAAAATCATAAATGAGCATTATCTTCATTATGTGTTCATCTCAGCGAGCGAGTGAGCGAAAAAACGATTCGATTGAAAGCAACTGCTACCGTTACCGGAGGTACGACTCGATGATAACGTGAAATGTCTGTGACGTGATGTGAAGAAGTTAGGGTCAATGATGTGAAACCCAGTCGACGACGACGAGAAGGCTAGCCGTTAGCAAACGAGTATATAAGATATATATATATATAAATGAATAATAATTAGTTGACAAACTGGAGAAAAATGAAACACGAAAACACTGGAACAACAACCACAACAACAATACGAAACAGGAAAGAACGAAAGATTCAGAACGCGAGAACGTTTGAGAGACAAAGGCAGAGAACGATAAACAATTACATACTGAACGAACCTAATATAAATATTATTATACTATTACCTATTATTATTGACTAGATAATTAAACCATGAATAAACGAAAAAGATACTATGATTAACTCGATGGACATCTTGGAATTGAATAGTCTGCGTGAGATCGGATTTTTCAAATTTGCCCCGACCTGTTTCGCGGACCAGTTCGGGCTGAACTCACCGGGGTGTTCGCCGAGGCCGGAATCGACAGAAAGTTGAACCTCGGAACCCATGTGAGTGTGGATTGGCGTTTCCTGACGTCTCAGGGAGACGAATTTTTTCGAAGACTCTCCGTGGATTTTCTGTGGGAGAAGCTGCGGAAAAGTGCTACAAAAGTTGTCCCGGTTTCCCTCGGGAGGTCTTCGAGGAATTCCGCCGGCTACGCGTCTTTCTGGCCATTAGTCTCTGATATAAAACGTATATTTAGCTCCTGGACTCGACTTCGAAATCCCCGGTAACCATGTTCTCGAACCGAACTGCTGAAGTGAGACACAGAGAGCGAAGCCAGCCAACCAACGGGCAGAGTAATCTTCCGGAAAGAAGATAAACTAAGGATTCTAATTGCAAAGTTAAGCGAAGCTCTACAATCAGTAACTACTGTATAGCGACGCTTGGCTTCGGCAGAATCTTTTGAGAGTCCGGAGGAGTTGGACTATCACCGAACCCTTAACCATAACGTGGCCTCCTGCCTCACTGACTGACTGACGTCTTTGGAGTTCTGGGAATGAAGGTCCGCCCCGTTGGCCTTGAACGACGAGGGAAGTGGGTTCGGCTCTTGGGTTAGGTCCGCTTTTACTTTTTTTTCGTACTTTCTTAGATCTCAGATTCTTCCTCTGCCAGAAGTTTAGGATTTATGTCTCGTTACGTTAGGTTCCGGTTGGTTGCTTGGTCGACCGATCCGACCAGCGAGCAACGATTTCGAAGGCCTCTAGGCGATGCAGTCTGTCGACTGGCCGGCTGCCTGGCTGGCATGTCGCTCAATCGTCCGTCGGGTAGGAATTATGTTCGCATCGGGTCATAAAACAAAATGAGAGCGAAATTGAAGCGAATCTCGGATGGACTTCACTCGCCGTAGGTGGTAAGACAACAGTGTTTCTCGATTGGATTGCCACCACAAGGAGCGGAATTCCTGGGAAGTCGATAATATACGAACTTCCTCGATCGTATGAGCTCGAAGAGACGATCCAACGAAATCTACGGAATTTCTGAAATGAGATACGAGCCATCGATTCGCTCCTCCATTGGCATGCCCCAGTGTCAATGACGATACCGGAAGGAGACAGTCCCTAGTGGTAGAGCACAGGAGTGCCAGGACCACTTCCTGACTTCGACATGAGATACCCCGGTGACCTGAGAGCTCGCTTACTCAGTCAGCAAAGCGTAAACGATCCTCTGAGAATCGAATAAGTCTCTGTTGTTGTTGTTGCCGTTGACGTAGTTGTCGTGTTCATGGTGGCAGCGGCGTTGTCCTATTAGATTAATCGAACCCTGGCTTTTATCCT